GGCATCAGCTGCCATTTTTGACCTTGTCAGACTGATCAGTCTTACTATCAAGGCAGAAGTAAATGGTTGTATTATCTGCATAGATGCCAAGATGAGAGCTGATGTCATCGAGAAGGCCATTAATGAAAATTAAAAACATAATAGTTAACAAGGATGGGGCCCTGGTGGACACCTGTGTAAGTATGAAATGATGGAGATGAGTGGTCATTCAGGATAGCTTTCATTTCATGATTTGATAGGAAAGACTGGATCAGTTTAAAAAAGTGTCCAGAAACATTGTAACTTTTCAGCTTGTGGAGAAGACTGGCATACCAAACCCTGTCAAAGGCTTCCGAGAAGTCCACAGCTACAGCCTGGCGTATGAGCTTCTCAATGTGGGGTTTGTATTTATCAAGTTGATTAGTATTCATTGTGGTTCTTCTTTGCATTATTTTTGCATAGGAAGGACATTTTATATTAGCTTTCACAATTTGCTTTGCCTCAATGTATAAGATGTTTCCTTTATATTTCACCTCGCCAATCTATCTCCTTTTCCTTTCCAAGAGTTGCATGATAACGAGTATGCTTGGATTGTTTTCCTGGCGGTTAGCACAACTTAATTCATAGTGGCATTCTACTTCCATGTGGTCTGAATCCTTTGGCCACATTTTCCACATGTTGTGTGATTCCTGCAGCTATCCTTATGATGCCCAAATGTTTGGCACTTGAAGCACCTTAGTGGAGCAGGAATATATTGTTCCACTGGCTCAATGTTGTACCCGACTTTTATTTTTCTAAGGATTTGAGGTGGGACAAAAGTAAGGATATATGTGTCTGTTCTTATAGTTTCTCCTTTCCTTTTTATTGCAATTCTACAGTAATCACTGAACCCTGGCTTCCTAAGGCAGATGTCATTTCTTCATGCTTCTAATGACTCCCTTAGAAGTATTTAGTCTTTCATGGGGGAAGCTTTTTATTTTGATGTTATGGAAAGTCTTCATCCTGATTAAACATTCAGTGTGCTTTCTATTTTCCACTTCTATTAGAAAATTTCTCAATTTCTTAACTGTTTTGGGATTAATCCTACTGGGTAGCACTTTTTCAATCAAGAAAGGGAAAAGTTTGGCTACTAGTTTCATCTAGGGACATGAGCACAAAAAATCTTGGAAATTCAGTACTTAATTCTTTTTCAGAATCTGAATGATCTCTTTTGTTTTTTGTTTTTTATTTTTTTTTTATTTTGGTTATTCATAATTTGGATGTAGAAAAAATTTCCTGCCTGTGCTCCCTACCCATCTCAATCTCAGGAATGTGTCAAAGGGGAAACCCAGCCATCTTGACAGGTCAAGACTACACAAAACAGTATACTCATATTTGAAAGAGACTCTGAGCACCCATTAAACCATTTGTTGCACTTCCCAAATGATAAATGTACAAACTAGTATGTTTACAGCCATATCTAAGTCTAGATCTCTGAACTGATTGACCTTCAGCCATTGCCTTCTAGTACCTATAAATTGGATAGAGATGGTATTTTATCTTGGTATGACCAGCAGATTGATTGGATTGGGCCTCTCTGACTGCCTGTTTAGTCCAAGTAAGGGCCAAAGTGGTGTGCTGGGAATCAGAAGTATCTAACCCAGACTCCTGAAGCCCTCAACCACCAGAATCCCATCCTTAGACATTACGGGTTGCCCCCCACAGCAAACAGGTAGGGGTCTTAACCCTCTGCTGACAGGGCTGTATAACCTCCAGGGAATATGCCTATATATAAATAAAAAACATTTGGTAGAATATTTAATTTTGGAAAGGCATTTTCTCTTAAATTATTCTACTTAAGAAAACAAACATCTGATGGATAGGTATTTATGTAAACAACGTAATCCCAAGGGTTTTTTTACAGATAATTTTTTATTTTGGCTGAGGAAGTAATTTAATACTTGATATCATTTTTACCCAATTTAATGAGTGTAGCATATGCATATACAGTTGTATCCAGTTAAGCTAAGTTGTCTCCAATTTAATATCTGGCTTAAATTCCTTAAGAACCTTTCAACCCATAGAATTTCTCAAAATAAGTTATTTAATTCCAGTAGTCATTAATTGTCATCAAGCCTTCTATTTTTCTATTCTATACCATAAAAACAATGCGTTTCTTCATTTAACTGTTTGTTGACTGCTGTCATGCTTTATTAGAGTTTTAATCACTTCATATGGATGAGTTACCATCTACATTGTCACATCAGTTCCATTATTGTTTGGATGTTAAGGCCATAACCTGGTTGTCAAGATTTCAGAAAGAGGAAGTGTACTGGACCATATAGAGAATATTTGGCCTTTCATTAAACACAAACAGAGAAACATTTTTCAACTACTCATCAACTGTTTGTTGCTCTCAGGATTGAATGAAAGAACATTAGTTCTTTTTTCGGTAAGAAACTGAATGTTTACATATACGACTTAAATATTTAATAAAATTTAAACATTTAAAAAAAAAATCAAGAGGGAAAAGCTGTACTTTATTTGTATAGTTCTTATTTCTTGATTGAAGATTTGTTGTTAAGAGCATTAAAAACATAACATTTTGCAATTGTTTTTGGTCAAGCAGTGTACACATTTGGGAATTTTTGGGTATTAAAGTTCAGTTAATACAAAGCTTGAGAGCCACTCAAAGTGTTACAGTCAAGAAAATAGTAATGCTGAATGAAGTGTGTGATATGAATGGAAGATTATGAGGATAAGGAGGAAAATTGATAATTGACACTTGACTTGAAGAGGTCAAGATTGAAGCAAACTTAGTACAAATGCATTGTACATTGCATTCAGTAAGAGGCAAAAAATATGGACACATCCATAGAAAGTATTTTTTGTATTTTTACCAAGTGAGTAATAGAATTTGTGTATTAATACAGGTGTACATATGTACATCATAGAAGTCAAAAAATGATTTATTATTTTGTGGGGTAACCTTTTGCTTTAATAACAACCGTAATTCTTCATGGCATGCTATAGACTAAATTCTTTAGTAAGTCAATGTCCTTTGCCAGATTTTTCCAGCATTTCTTCAATTTGTGAAAAAGCTCATCTTCTGTGTTAACTTTCTTATTACAGGCATGCTTGTCCATTATCACCCAAATGTTTTCAATTGCATTAAGGTCAGGACTCTGACTAGGTCACTGGAAGAGTTGCAATTTATCCTCATTGTGCTTCCTCTCTAGATAACAGTTATTCTTTAAGGCAGTATGCTTAGGATCATTATCATGATGGAATGTGAAGTGTTGACCCTGGGCAAAAAGTTTTTTAGTAGAATGCCACATTTGATTGTTGTGGTATTGATGTTGGTCCATGATTCCCTTGATTTTGTACAAATTACCAAATCCTGTAGCTGAGAATGCACCCCAAATGTTGATTTTTTTATCATGTTTAACAGTCCCCTTGGTAGTCACTAGAGTATTCATTTCACCAGGTGTACACCAAACATGTATTCGTCCCTCATATCTAAGAGTAAAGGGACTCTTGTCAATCCACATAACATCACATTTAATCCAGTGTAAATGAGCTTTGCACCAAGTCAACCATGCCTGTTGATTTTTTTCAGATACTAAAGGTTTCTTTTTTATGTATTTGGAAACAACGCCTTTTGCTTTAAGCCGGCATCTGACTGTTCTTGAAGAAACTGCCAAACTAGCCATTTTGGAAACATCTTGTGCTGTTACAAATCAATCTTTTTTGCATGGACAAACCAAGTTCCTTGTTGGTAGTTTTTAGCAGTCAGCTAGATCTGCTATGTCTATTATTGTTCCAGTTTGATTTCTTTTTTTTTTTATTAACTTGCAGACACCTGACTCACTTTGATTAATATTATCAGCTATCGCTCTATTCAATGGCCCAAGATCATGAAAAGTGGTGACTTGGCCTTTCTAGAAGTCAGAACAATGCTTAGGCATGTTAATAGATGTAAATACAAATCTAATAAGCTTTATATTTTGTTCATCATTTCTATAGGTGCATCCATTTTTTTGCCTTGTACTGTATATATACATTTTGCTAGTATACTTGTTTACTATTACTGAAATAATATCTTCAATATTGGTACTCTTCTTGTGGCTCTTATTACAATTTCTATATGTGGCTATGTATACCTATTCTATTAATTTGGTTTAAGAATTATCATTATATATATATATATATATATATATATATATATATATATATATATAATAATAATTTGGAACTTCATAATATAATGTCAAAAATTAAAATATATTTAATTTTGTAGAGTAAATAGACTATTTCACACTTTAATTGGACTGACAATTGTGCTAGTAAATAAATTAATAAGATATGATTTTAACTGATTCATATATATAATGAATTTCTAAGTTTTCTGTTATAGTGTTCTAATGAATTAGAATTGTTAGCATTTATTACGCAATTATTGGTAGATCACTGCTTGAAGATGATTATATTGCAAAATATTTATTTTCATTTTGTAAAATAATAATCCGTAACTATATACACCAACTATATTGGTAATAACTTTAATTAGTTCAAAAATACATTTTTATTACTTGTTTGTTTATAGTATTCTGAGAAACAGTAAAACCACAAGGCTTGCTTAAGATACCCTCACCTCTTGTTTCCATCAGCTTGTAAAATTTTTTAATGCATTTTTCACTGTTCATTTTGCTTTCCATGACTATTGGATAGTTATGATGCTATAAAAAAGTTGAAGAAATTTCAAATATCATTCAAATAGTTTAGTTATTCTGATCTCTAGTTTTGAATGCCTACAGTAAAATCTCATTCAATCACCAAAGGTAAGCAGCATTGAACCCAGTCATTACTTAGATGGGGGACCTCTTGCAAACACTGGTATTGTAAGTAATGTCCTACAATCCAAAATACACTTTGGCTTTAAATAACCCACAAAGAGTTGATAAGTTATAAAAAAACAAATTAATCTAGTTTTGAATTTGAATAATGCTAATTATATGAGAAATATTCAAAACTGGTTTTACCTTATTTTCATATCCTGATTCAGAGAAGGATGAGCTGAAAATAAATTATAAAATCAGATTATATATTTATACAGAACAGCAGAAGATAAAATAGTGAAAATTGTTTTTGATCCATTATTTTAATCATCCAATGATAAAAATAAATATCTGAAGTTATTTTAATTATTTTTCAATTAATGACTATATATTAGAAGCAAATGTGAATTAAAAAAAAAAATTACTGATATAATTTAAATATAGCAATTTCACAACAGAAAATTATTTTTCCATCATGAGAGTCTAGGAAGCTTCATATTCTGATTGAATGCTAGCAGAGTTGGTTTTGACATATTTTTAATTTGAATGTCAATCTTCTTGGTAACCTTTTTACCTGAAACACATTTTGTCAATAATTCTGTCTTGCTGCATCTTTGGGGATTGAAAAAATAAAAAATATGAAATATTATTTAAAAGACTCTCTGTAAAATATAGATATTATTGAAAATGATACAAATGAAGTTGAATTAGCATAAAATTGTGCAACAGTCAGTAAAGTCTTAAAAACTAATCAAAGATGAAACAATAATATATACTCATTAAAACTTTTAAAATAAAAAAAGATTATATATAAAACTGGTGTAAAGTATTAATATTAGACAATGTGATGGGGAAATTTCTGCTACACATACACAAAAATTATTATGATTTATTGAAATTTAATCAAAGTTTCTCACTCAATGAAGTGTTAAAAATATAATAGTTTTCTAAAAAAAAAATTATTGGTTAATCATACTGAAAAAGGAAAATTAATTATACTTATGGAATAAGAAAAAAAAAGTTAAATTTATAACCTTTGGTTTCTCAATAACAAAAACAAAAATAGTAATGCTGAAATTAGTATACAAAATTATTCAGTTAATAAGATCTAAGAAAATAGCTTTAGTAGTAAGAAACTGTTAGGTGATTTTGTGTAGTTAATAAAATCAATATTTCTGACTAAATTCAAAAAGGGACAAAATCCATAAAAGTTCTTAAACTCAGAAGCTACTAAAGCTGGACATTAATTTTAGTCTATATTCAATTTACATCAACCTTTACAATATTTTAACTTCATAAAAGGTTAGAAAAATATCTTAAAACTTGTCAAACATACATATTTTTTTATTCTTTTGTTAAATAAAACTTTTTACTCACATTTAGATCATTGGAAATCAAAATTAATTTTCTAATGATTAATGAATGAAATTTTTATGGAAATAAGGAAAAAAGCTTTAATTCCATCAATTTTACTGCAATTATAATTGTCACTTTACAACTCTTTATGAAACAAGAGATGATTTTTAAATAAGAGAATCATCTCCAAACCAAATAAACTAGATCTAACTCTTCCCCTAATTATAAGTTGATGTCAAATTGATCAGAAGTGAGCCTAATAAATATTAATTGTAACTGATCACAATTTTATTGCAGTCTTACAAGTATTTTTATTTAATCATTTTGTCCCAAGCAAGGAAATAAAGCCACTAAGATGCAAGGGGTTACTAAGTGTGAGAGAATATAAGGGGAAAAAAAACACCATTAAGGAGAGAGGACAATAAAAGAACAGGAATTAAGACAGAAGATAATGGTCAACATTGCATTTAAATTTTTGAAAATCAAAGTTGACTGGGAAGCAAGAACCTAGAAAAGAATTCCACAAGTGAGAAGTGTGAAAGAAGAAACTGTTAGTATAGAATTTATGGTTACATCTAGTCATTTCAATTGTAAAATGATGAGACCTTGTTACCAATCTAGTACTGCATTTAAATTCATAAAGTCTAGGCACCATAGAGGAAAGTCATCAGAATAATTACCATGAAAGTATTTATAAAATATGTAAGATAGAGTCTGGTGAGAAAAATTGTCTAGCACGATGCAGTGAACCAACTTCCCTAGAATCAAACCTAGCAATTGATTCAATATAAGCTTTCCACTTCATGTCAGTGAAAAATATTAGTCTGAAAAGGTGCAATGCATCACTCTCCTGGAAGTTAGCATCAGCCATGCTGTTGAAAGGCAAAAAGCATTCTCTCAGACAATTAAAAGAGAGTAGTTTTGGTTTGGAAGTGTTAAAATTAACAAGACATTCCTTACCCTAGTTAGCAACAAATTGTCGGTCATTTTTTAAATCAGCTGCCAAGTTGACCTTATCAAACTGATCAGACTTACTATTAAGACAGGGGTAAATAGTTGTGTCATCAGCATAGATACCAAGTTGAGAAATGATGACATTTGAGAGGTTGTTGATAAAAATTAAGAACAATGTAGGTCCAATGATTCAACCCTGGGAGACATCTGCATTAACACAAAAGATCTAGATCTAGAAAAGTGGATGTTCAGGATAACTTTCATTTCGCAATTTGATAAGAAAAACTGAATCAGTTCAAAAATTTGTCCAGAAATACCATAACCTTTCAATTGTCAAACGTCTTTGAAATATATGATGCAACAATCTGAGCTTCACCATTCTTATCTAAAGCCTGATAGGCTCTTTTAGCAATAATTGTTAACACATCAACAGTTGACCTAGAGCAGTGATGTGACACCCTAAGACACTGAAAGGGTTAATAGATAGTCTGATAGATATACTGAGATGATGATGGAAAAGTCAGTAGATGGCCTACATGACCAGAAAGAATGAATCTAGCAGGGCTGAATCACCAAGTGATATCATGGTTTAAAAGGAAATCTGGGTTAGTGAATTGTCCACAGGTTATGAGAAAATTGTTCATATTTTGAGAAAGTGTGTTTCTAGTCACCGATGAAACCTGATACAAATACTAGATAACAGAACAATGGAGTTAATGATCAATGACAGGCTAAAACAAACGCAAGGAAATTGAAATGCAAAAAAAAAAACAAAAAAAAAAAAAAACAATATCATGAAAATGAATATAAAACTAGATGCCATGATGTCAGGCAAACTGTCCCAAGGATGGGAAATAGAGCGAGGAGGAGAAAGTTAATTCCTCCTGACTATAATGATTCAATAAGAGAAGACACTAAGGAGAAATGGAATTGTTTCCACCCACCGAAGGGTGGAAGTACCAGTATAAGGCTCTGACTGAAGGGCGGTTCAGAGTGGTGGTTGCAGGTGGATAGAAGAGAGAGTAGTCTCCACCAATCAGAAATGTTGGTGGAAGACATGACTTTAAGTTAACAGGAGTAGCTGGGAGGAGCTTTTGCCCTCTACCTGTGGAATGAGATAACTTCCAAATTTAGAAAAATTAAGGATGTTACAGAAAAATTCTAAAAAAAGGAACTTTGTAGAATTTAGTTAATTAGTCCGAGAACTGAGAAAAACTACCATTGGGGCCCATAAAAAGCAGAATGCTTGCAGAGAAAACAGAGATGAAGGGCAAAAATGAGAGAGAAGAGAGATTGAGCTGCTGACAACTGTTTTACCTGATGCCACATGACTTCTGCCTGACAAAGACTTCTGATTTCAACCATGCTCCAGAAATGTTGTTAACAAGATCAACTATAATAAACAAGAGTGTTGTGAACTTATACACAAGAGAAGATAAGAGAAGATGATGAGGCCAGGAGAAAAGAGAGAGAGAAAACTGTTCCACAGGATTCCTGCTATTGAAGAAAGCCTCTGATTTCAATCTGTGTTCCAGAGTACTTATCTAGACCAATCATAACGAATAACACTGTCATGGAATATTCAAATGAGAAAAGTGTTGAGTGACTTTGCATGTCAAGATATGCCTACATGAAGAACCAATAAACTTGTATGGGGAACAAAACTTGTATTACCAGCTTTGTATAAGTAGTGTCATAAAATATTATTTAAAAAAAAATTTTTTTTTAACAACTTATCTTGTGACTTGTGCCTTTTACTTGTCCAGTCTGGACTAGTTTAGTGATTCCTGTTGACAAATGACTCTTGCCAGCCTTATGATCTAAATTAAACATGGTGTGGGATAGGGCAAAGCTTGGGTCAAAGTGATTGATATCAAAAGCGGACACTGGATGGAAAGACTGAATGGGCTTGCGGAGGGATGCAACATTATAGTGAAAACCATTTTGTTTATCTGAAAGAAAACTCTGTGAGGTGAGATGCTTAACAAATTCAGAGTTGATTAGAGCCTCTTGTACGTTGCTAAAAAGAGATAGAAAGCTAATAGGCTGATAGAGGAATCAAACAGTTTGCCATAGTCCTTAAAGACTGGAACTACACAAGAGGATTTCCAACAAGCAGCAAAGCAAGAAGCATCAAGGCATGTACTGTAGAATTTAGAGAGAACAGGAGCCAGTAGAGGAGCATATTTCTTAAGAACTATTTCAGGGATACCATCAAGTCCACATGCATTGTGGGAATCCAGTTTAGAGATGATAGCAGAAACCAGGGACAGAGTTTATATATATATATATATATGAAAAGTGTGTGTATATAATATATATATATATATATATATATATATATATATATATTATATGGTACTTATTAGAAAGCTCAATATCAGAGATAGAGCTAACATATTTGTTAGATTGATGTGAGTTTTGTAAACCTGGGTTTCACACTTTTTTGCAATCGTTTGTCTGACGATCGCAAAGCGTGAAACCCAGGGTTACAAACTCACATCAATCCAACCAAATATATATATATATATATATATATATATAAAAACCTAAAGTAATCCTAAGGAGCCAGGCTGACCTACCTCCTAGGTTTCACTCTCCTTTGGCTCCTTAGGATTACTTCAGGTTATCGCTCTACTTAGTGTATTGAGCACTTTACATAGTTGTCTTTTCACACTTTTTACTTGTTTTGGGTTTTTTTTCTTTGGACTTGGAGCTTAAACACTTCACAATTGTTTTTGCCTTGGTTTAATGTTTTTGGTTCTTCCTTTTTTTATTTCCCATTTTTCCTCGGATACCGATTTGTTCTACTGCAAGTTGAGCTATCCAAGGTTTTTCCAAATGAGTACCATATATATATATATATATATATATATATATATATATATATATATATATATATATATATGTGTGTGTGTGTGTATCACT